CCTTTCTATTTTACCTCGGTTATGTTAATACTAATTCTTTTTCATTTATTTTAAAGGCTGAAAAGTAATTATTTGCCAGCTGTTCTACAGAAACATCTCCAGGCATTGGGGATGTTGGGTGTTTTTGATCAGCTAATTTGATATTTTTAAGGTTGGTAAAGGAATTGGAGATGGGGTTTTGGGTTTCAAGTGAAAACAACTAGCTGGATTTATTGCATTTTGAAACTAAACATCTTTAGAACTCATTCTAGGTGTGACTGCTTTCTTAAGATCCCATGGGCTGAAAGAAAACCTTGGCTTGGCCTGTTGCTAGATCCCACTAAGGCTTTCTGTCTCCTTTTGTCTTAGCTACTCTCTTTCCTCTCTGAAGTCATACATTTTTACTCTATCGTGAAGGGGAAACATCCTTTCAAACTCCTCAATTCATAATTGAAGAAGTTTTGTTAGATCAAAAGGAAAGAAAGAATGAACAGAAGCGAAGTGCATAGAAAGCTTTAATATTTGAGTGGCCACACCGTATCTGGGGCAGCTTTGCTGCTGGTCGCTGTGCAGCACAGGCAGAACAAAAAAAAAAAATGAATCCAGAGTGATTTGTTCAAGGTTGCTCAATGTGAGTCAGAAAAGATTGGGCATTTTAATGCCAGGCAGAGCAGACATCTTTCTTCCCTAAACAGGTGTTTTTTGTATGGGATTGGTTTCAATCCCCCAAATTAAACATGATCACAGTTCATACATTTCAAGCTGCTTTTTCTTGAGGTGAGAAGGGCTGCAATGTTGCAAGGAAAAAAAAAAGATGTTGGCTACATAATACAAATACAACAGCAGCCCTGAGCAGGAAGTAGTCGGGGAGGGGGCTCAGTGTGGCCTTTTCTAGACAATTACTAAGGGTAGGAAGAACATGCATAGGGGACCATATGTGCAGAGGAAAGGAAAGTAAGAACTGGAGAGATCTCCTATCCTGGGCCTCCTGGGACCTTTCTAAGCTCCTTCATCCTTACATATGCATGAGCTCCTAGTTCCTCCTCACCTTTTCTAGCTGCCCCAAGCAAACCCCAAAGCCATTGTTCAGAACCTCTTGGTTAAAAGCCCAATATGCAGAGTCAAATAGCTTTGCATTCAAACTGAAAGCTTTTCCAATCAGCCAAGGAACTTTGGGCAAGCTCATTTAGCTCTCTGAACCTTGGGCTTGAAAAAAAAAAAAAAGATGTAATTTTGTCTGCTGCAGAGGTTGTTATGGAATTAGATGAGTGTTCATGGATTCAACACACTGCAATGAGTAAATGGCAAGAAATGTTATCATATCCACAATACATAATCCATAGATTGTTTTCATTTGTTTTTCTCCACATAAAGAAAGTTGAGTCTCTAGACCATACTACAACTGAACTAGGAGGTCGCTTTAAAGCTCATTCAACAGACTCTGCTATAAAACCCAGTTTCCTACTATTCAGCTATTGTTGTGGGAATAAATGTGTTCTGTCTGCAAAATGACATTTTACTTCCTTATAACACATTTTTTCTTCAGCCCCATCAGTACTCTGAACATGATAGACCAATTTATTGCATGCCGGAAACTGAGAAAATGGCAGAAGCAGGAAGGTGTCTGACTCCTCTCACGTCATTTCCCTGAAGCCTCTTGTGAAATGCAGGTCTCATCTTTTCCATGAATGCAGGGATTGTTAACAACCAGGATGCAGAGAAGAAAGTAAACAAACAGGGGTTGTTAAGTTCCACAGTGTAGGGACATGGATTCCCTTTTTTCTCTCCAATTATATATAGAGCCATCTATAAAAATCAGCTTTTCCTGGATCTTTGAGTCTTCATGGCCAAATCTCCCATTTTTATGACATGTTTAATACATATTTTTACTACAGACGTTTTTATACTATTTCTTTGTTAATCTGTTTTTTTTTTTTTTTTGGAAGAGTGTCAACCATGAAACTTGAGAATTAAAAAAAAACTTTTTATCTCATAATTCCCTTTTGTCTCCCTCAGGATGTCTCATCTTAGAGAACATTATTCCTAAAGTCATATGCTTTTATGCTCTTGTAGACTATTAAGCCCTAACTATTATGAAGTCCATGCGATGATTTTCATGTGCTTTCATTCACTCCATGTGTCAATGGCTTTCAATAATGAGACAGAGTTATATAAAGCTTCTTTGGCAGAAAAGACCTCCATTTAAAAGTGGAGTCCCCATTGGGTATCATCATAAAACTCCCTACATGAAACCATTCAGTTTTCCAGCAGATGGGTGCTTTGTCACATCAGTATTTATCTTCTTTTTATATTCAACTTCATTCAAATCATCCAATTAATGTAGAAAAGCAGAGCTATGGTTTCCTGACACTGAGGCTAGAAAGTTTCATCAGAAGTGATTAATGCTCTAATTGGAGACCGAGTAGGGCTTCTAGAGGAAGAACGGATATCATTTTAAGAAGGTGATATGAAGACTCAGGTGAGAAATTATAGAACTTGAGTCTAAGCACAAGCAGCTGAAGAAACTATAAAAAGATAGGGCTGTAACTAGCTCACACATTACTGTGCCTTACTACTTAACTACCTCTTCCTTTAGACTCAAACCAGTAGGAGGCTGCCCAGAAGAGATAATAGACCTCCAGCATTGAAGTCATCTAAAACTGCAATGATTTCATAAGAACAGGAGGACCAAGGGACAAAAGCAGCTAGCGGTATGATGTAGCACCCTAAAAGGAAGGTTTTGCATAAGTTGGAGGAAAATGTGTTGTTTTGAATATTTTCAGAGTAGCAAAAAGCATTCCCAGGCTTCCAAGGCTGCAAAGCCAATCAAGTCAAAAGCATGGGTTAGCATCTTAGGAAGCAACATACCAGCAATAAAGGACTGAGCAAGTAACATTCCTTTCATTGATACACAAAAGCTGAACAACAATTTTGAGAGACTGCTATTGTTGTTTTCATTTAGCAGACCACAAATCTTGAGATTGGGGAGGTTCAGTGATCTGTGCAAACCTACAGTGAAGAGCAGAACACTGTCTTAAATCTAAGTGGACCTCTGACTTCACTCTTGTCCTTTTGCCTCCATTTCCCTGGATCTTAGAAACAAATAGAACATCTGTAGCATATTTTATTCATGTTAATAAGTCATATACAAAAAGCATTCTGAAAGAGTCAGGATGGGGAAGGAATTCATGTTGGTGAGAAGAGACATTTAGATTTGGATATAAGCATTTTGGACTTCCTATGTATTTTCTGTAGAAAATGTAATATACTACAACACAAATTTCTAGTTTCCCTGGGGATGTAGAAATTGGCTTGAGGTATTGGAGACTATTTAGAATAAATAATTCCCAATTAACTTAATTTGGGAGGCCACTAAATTATGAGGAATGTCACATATCAGAGAAATAGACTAGAAAAACTTTGAAATGTACATGTACATTTAAAGTGCTCATCCTGAGCAAAAGTATAGATAGTTACATCACTTAGTGAAATTCAGAAAGAAAGTATAATGCTTTCCTGTCTTTTCACATCTGAAATGTCACTACTAGAAAGATAGGTGTTATTATATGCATTACTCACAAAGGGAATCAGAAATGGGCCAATTATGACTAGAAAATACTGTTATTTATTTTCTAGTAATCAGTTGTTGCCCTCAGTGTTTCATTATATAATGCCATAGCAAAAAGTAGAGTAATAACTGTTAGTACTTATTTTCATATATTTTTATAGCAGGAACACTCCCGTCATAAACTGAATAAATAGATCATCAGGATTAAATAATTTTAAGACTTCATCTCTATCTTTCTTTCTTTTTTATTAAGAAACATTCCATTCATTCTACACACCAACCACAGATTCTCCTTTTCTCCCTACTCCTGCCCTCAGCTTTTCTCCCCCATCCCACCTCCCATTCCCACCTCCTTCAAGGCAAGACCTCCCATGGGGAGTCAGCAGAGCCTGGCACATTAAGTTGAAGCAGGTACAAGCCTTAGTCATATAGCTTATGTGAGAAAATTGATTGAAAACTAGAAACCATAAGGCCACAATGAAAGCTTTTCTAGAATCCAGACCCCAGCAGGAAGCAGCTCCCATGGACGCTGGCTGTGGGATATTTTTCTGTGTGCTATGAATATATGTTGCTCTGATTGGTTGATAAATAAAGCCACATTGGCCTATGGCAGGGCAGGATGGAGCCACGTGAGAAAATCCAAGACAGATAGAAGAGAAGAAAGGAGAGTGGGGCAGATGGGGCTGGCCACCGCCAGGAGAAACAAGATATAAAGCACCGGTTAGCCACAAGCCATGTAGCAAGGTATAGATTTATAGAAATGGGTTAACTAATGGTATAAAGGCTAGCTTTGGGTTAACTAATGATATAAAGGCTAGCTAGCAGGAAGCCTGCCATGGCCATAGTTTGAAAATAATATAAGCTTCTGTGTGTTTATTTGGGTCTGAGAAGCTGCAGGACTTGGCAGGACACAGGAAAAATTCCAACTATAGATGCTGCAAATTATTCTGCTCCTGATCTTTTTTTTTTTTTTTTTTTTAAACCAGAATTAACCTTAAAGCATGTGCTGTGTCTTAACTGCCTTTACTCAGCTGAATATAGAGATCTTTATGGCATGTCTTCCCCAATAGGAAAGAAGGGCCCTGAGAGCTCAACCTCCTGATGCCTTTCTTCAGAGGCCAGCAAATATATCTCTACGCAATCCAGTTATAGTTACATTTCCTTACAATCTTGTATTTACTTTGAAACATCCTATCTAATTAATACCCATCAAAATGTCCATGACTCTTCTGCATATTTGGTTATCACCTTATTGTCTGAACACAGAGGACAGAAGACTGAGAGAGCCCACTCACTGACCAGCTCTTCTGAACTCAGGCCATTGCAATGGTCCAGCTGAACAGAGTAGATCTTTAATTCAGGAATCCAGGTTTGCTAAATTTATGCACATCACAAGAGCTTTGAGTTTGCATTGAATGTATAGGTATGGACAGCACTTCCCCACATGACTTACCTCCTGCAGCTTTGCCTGCCCAGCCCAGTCAGTCCAGTAGGAATGTTGACTTATCTAGGAAAAGGAAAATAAGGGCATATGAAATAGACAGAAAGATGTGTGGCCTCAAGCATTCACACAGTTTCTTCAATTCAATTAATATTAGTTTCCTTCATAATTCAGGAAAAGAACAAAAATGCAGTAAATGAAAATAGTATTCTGAACTCAAACACCACCTACAGAATTTAAACCCACATGAAATCTAAATTCAGAAATGGCCTGGCAACATGAAATAAGAATCATTTTAGAGTCAGTTAATCTCTAACTTTAATTTTCTCGACGCAGAGAACCCCAGCAGTACTCAAGCTCGTAAGCCCAGGGAGGGGTCTGGCAAATGAATCCAGTCTAATTACAAAATGCCTTTGAGATAGCAAGTGCAACATGCGCCTGCTCTTCTGTGATTTGACTGCACCAAAGGTGTAACCCACATGTTAATAAGCAACTTTTATTCATGCTGATAGTAAAGTGATGTGTCTAATCCTGTCTATAATCATATACTTGGGCATAAATGCTTTCCCTAGTAAGGAAGAATACTGAAAACAATATGATACAACAGGATTTCATATTTTAAAAATCATCAAAAAATGTCATCTGCTTGACCATATTCATTACGTTTTCAAGAAAATGCATAATTAAATATGATTGATATGTTTTGTTAGTTTTCTTTATGAAATGATTAAGTGCTAGAGATTTCTGCCAAGACTTTGTGGCTCCATTAAGATATCAGAACTCTATTACAAACTAAGGTCACTACTGTTCTTATATCCTAGGAATATTAGACATTAAGATGTAAACTCTCATTCACAAATGTCAAATTAAAAAAATCTTCTCATTTATATGTGTTTTAATTATCAGTGTAAACATTTTGCTCAAATATATATAACTCCAACCTGACCCTCATCCGCTTTCAGTCTCAATGCCCTTTCATGCTGTATGCAACAGTACAAAGGAAGATATTTCATGTGTTATTAGTTATAAAACCACTGGAATGGTCCCATTACAAATCACTCTTCATTAAAATCACAGGAGAAGCCAAATTATCATAAAAACTTACATTAGAAAGAGGAAAAGCATTCTTGAATTTGCAAAAGACATTGCTTAAATTATAATCCAAATAGGCTGACATTTCCCGATACCTCCAGTATAATATTTCTAACTAAAAAGGAAAAAAAAAGAACTACAATTATGGAGGTGAATGTAGAGTTGTAAAAATTTCCAATAGAAGGGATATTTAGATACTAAAAAAAAGTTGATAACAAATTTATATGTTCCAAGATGAATCTTGAACTTAGACTCAGCATCAAATTTAGCTTCTAGCTCCCAATTTATATTTACACATCATCATCAAGAAAATGTAAAAGTATCATCTTAAGATTGCTCATCCCAACTAATAACCATTTCCTAATATTCTGGTTTGGGTTTTCTCCAATCTTGAGCTGAACTAGTCACCTTTGGCAATGGTCCTAGAGCATTTTAAACATGATTTTTATCACAGTATCTATCATGTATTATTACAGATGTTAGTTTAGGACATCTTTTCCATCAAATGGTAATGTAAGTGAAGTGTCCATAAAAGAATAATACATGTGTTCAGAATTTTCCCATCCGTTGCTCAGAAGGGCACCAACATGACTCACCATCAAACTGTACCCCCTCTTTTCTACCCCCACCTTTACTTGAATCCAGTCCTTTTATTTCCTGATCAGTTTTTAGAACTATCAGTTGTGAAATGGGCATAATTGATCGAGAATAAAGAACCAGGACCCTCCAAGTAAAGGTGATAGGATAGAGAGGAATGGGGCCAAGGCAGGTGATGTTTGTGGGGCAAAAAAGACACAAAGGAAGGAGAAAGGGTACTGTCAAAAGGTTGAGAGGTACAAGAAATATATGAATCAGTGGCATCAGAAAAGAACAGAGAAGTTAAGGTAAGGCTTTTGGGGGTAGGGAAAGGGCACAGAGAATGAGGTACTTTCTGGGTTACTGAGTAGGAGATGCTTGCTCTAGATAGGAAAGTCATGCCTAAAAGTAAAGCAGACGATGTATTTAAAGACTTCTGTTGGGACTTTGTCCTCTAATCCACTTCTCTGGTTTTTGATAGATAGATAATTACTGAAGGATCTTTAGGCATTAACTGACTTCTTTACTAGACATACAAATGGACTTTATGCTCAGTGGTATATCACTTCTGAATCCTCATTGTCCTGCACAGTGTTTGGTACAAGTTTCATTCCTGGTAAGAATCAATTTTCTTTTAATGCCTCAATGAGTATGATTCTGTAGTCACCATCTTCCAGTAGCAGAAGATGAAGATATTAAAATATGAGAATTTAACATATATGCAATAGATCTGACACTCAATCATGCATACACAGTGACCCTGTTCATTATTCTTTAATCAAGGATTTTAAAAACTGTCCAAAAAAGATAATTAAAAGGACAAAATACAGTCTGGCAGTAGAGTAGAAGTAGAAAAAAAATGATATATCAAGATTCAAGTTAGTAAAAATGAAAGTTTCATTAATTTAATAAAAAATTAAATTCGAGGCAAATTGTCCAGGATTTAAATCTGAGAACTTATAAAGACTGGTCTTGCAATCTGGTAGTGAATGAAAGAAGCTGAAAAGCAGTCACTCTCTTGTTAGCAGGGGGAAGCCAGGTGTTCCAGGGTCAAGAGGGGAAGGTGCCTAGCTCCCTCCAACTTGATGCCAAGTGTCAAGAGTGCCTCCACAGAGCACATACTTCAAAAGTAAAAGCAACTCACCAGGTAGACAGAAAGGTATGCCCAACAGACAAAATTGTATACACAGGAAGAATGAGATGAAAACATGAAGTTTATGTATTTGGCATTGACAGTGTCAATTAGGCATTTTTCTGTCATCAGGAAAAATAGAAGTATGTGGAAGCTTGGAAGGTAAGGTTGATGATGAAGTCCATTCACATCAGCAATGCATGAACAAAAGAATTCTATGATATAAATGTAACTGTTTATGAAGATAAGAGGGAGGTCCCTATTCTCCCATCTTACATACACAGACACAGACACACAGACACACAGACACACAGACACACACACACACAGACACACACACACACACACACACACACACACACACACACACACACAATTGCTCACTGGCCTATTTGGAGGAAGAGTGTATCTTTTTGTTTTGTTTTGTTTTGCTTTGTTTTTTTCGAGACAGGGTTTCTCTGTGCAGCTTTGGAGCCTGTCCTGGATCTCACTTTGTAGACCAGGCTGGACTTGAAATCACAAAGATTCACCTGGCTCTGCCTCCCAAGTGCTGGGATTAAAGGCATGCACCACCATTGCCCGGCAGAGTGTATCTTTGATACTACAGAATAAACCTGTAGAAGTAAAGCTCAAGAAAAATGCATTCTTGGGGTGGGGTGAGTGTCTGTATAACTTTCCACAGGATAGATGAGCACAGAAGACGTGGATTCTGAACGGCATTTAAGATTTAGTATTGACAGTATATAGTGGATACTTGAAAACAGATGGAAAAAGGAAGAAAAGACACCATGGAAGAAGGAAGACACATACGTTTATGAATTCAGAGGATACTGGTGTTGGTTGCTTCAGTCACCAGAACAGAACATGTAAGTGGCACCACCCAAAGACAGAAAATGCATTTAGTCTGGAATTTCATGCACTGAAACACACATGACCCATGTACAGCTTTGAGTCATAAATAATGTCCCTTGAACTGAGAACACTCAGGGGTGTTGAAGAAAATTAGAATATATGTATACACCTATGACCAGAAAAGAAAACCAAAGAGAGGGAGACGGTCATGGGCAGGACAACAATAGCTACTCTATATAACAGGACAATTGGGATTCAGCAGAGACTCTGGAGGCCTAATTTAAGAATAAACAAGTTCAAGAAACCCGTGGCCCGTGTCCACCATGAAAAGAGAGCATGAAAATAAGTTGAATTTTGAATTAAGAAGACCTCAATAACCTTTACCTGAAAAGCATCATGGGATGTCAACAAAGTTAGCATTGAGAAATATGTCAGAAGAGGTAACAAGATGAAAATGCTTCTGGGTTACACACTGTTAGATATAGCTTTCTCATCAAGCTTTTGGGAGTGATAGAGAGATGGGTCAATTGGGTAAAGCATTTCCCACACAAAGATGAGGTCTGGAGTTTGGATCTACAGTTTGCATGCAAATGCCATGTGGACATGGTAGCTGGCCTGTGATCCCAATACTCTGGAGTTGGATAAGGGATCCCAGAGCAAGCAGCTAGTTAGTCTAGTCAGACTGGCAACCTCTGGGTTTAAGAAGAGATCTTACCTCAATATATGATGTGTAGTGAGATTTTGGCATATGATATCTATCTCAGGCCTTCACCTGGATGTGCATATATATGATTATGCACCCACTCACAAGTCTGTTCATACATGAGGATCTGTGTGTCACACACACACACACACACACACACACACACACACACACACACACACACAC